GGCCCCGTTGGAGCAAGCTGGTAGCTGAGCGTGTTAAAGCGTGATCGTTGGCAGATCGTGCGAGTGGTCGCTAGTTTGAATCCCATCCGCGGTCTTTTTTTCCTTGCTCTGCTGCGGCCAAGTGTTTTCGGGCGTCGGTCACAGCTTAGATCAAGGTGCCGCTGAAAGTGGTGCTCTGTATCGTTCCGTCGTGGCCAAGTCGGTAGCGTCCGGGCCCGGTATGAACCTGGTCACTGGTTCGAATCCCGGCCGGGTGATAATTTTCGCGCTCCGCTGGCCATGACTTTACAGCCGTGCGACACCTGATGTGATGGGCCGGTACGCAAACAGTCGCTGGTTCGAATCTAGTCGACGGAACCCTTTTCCTTCTGCCAGCCATATGTTTCGGGGTGGGAGCCACAGCGGAGATAAGCTTCACCTATGCAAAACCCTCATCATTGGCTCAGGTGGTAGAGCGCGCGCTCGGGACGCGGATGGTTGTCGGTTCGAATACTGACCGGGGCTCATTTTTTCCTATTTAGTAGTTTGCGGCGTGGGGACCAAGGGTTAGGACAAAGAACCAGCCGACATGGGGAGGTGGACTTGACCGCATGCTGAGCAGACCCCGCCCCACTTAAAAAAAAACAAAAACAAAAAAACAAACAAAAAAAAACTAAATGTGCGCCCGGACCAGGACTCGATCCCTGGGCCGAGGGTTTCCAGACCACACCCCAGCGTGCTCGCCACTCGGCTGTCGGCTCCACTTGTCAGCGGAGAGTTCAGAACTCGCTGCTGGTTTACGGGTCTTGGTCTCCCGGATTGCACGCGTTCAGGTCGGGTCAAGTCCACCTCCTCGACGCGCTGCAGCCCGGGTCGACTCCTGGCCAGAAACAAGGAAAATGGCCAGTAAATGAGCTCCCCGGGCGCGGTGAGGTTAGGTTAGGCTAGCGGAGAGTGCATTTATTGGCCTTTTGGCCAAGATTTCGACCCGGGCTGCAGCGCGTCGAGGAGGTGGACTTGACC